CAATACTGAGAAGATTAGCATGGCCACTGCTGAACAGGCCGCGAACCCCAATTCGAATGATCTACCACCCGATCAACAGGTTATGAGCCCAAGAGTGGCTACTGCAAGGAGAGAGGATGATGATGAGGGAAATCCTATGCTGAATGGGAACCACCCACCTCTCCGTGGAACGCAAGACCTGGATGGTGAGATCACTTTGCCAACTCCTGCGGAGGAAGCCCCAGAGGTGATACAGAGGAGTTCGGCCCCGGCGCCTTCGACGAGAATCCCTGAGCAGGTGGAGAGGCGAGATTCGGCCAACCACCCTACAGTGGATCCAGGATCAAAGGCTGGACCCATCGGGCGACCGCCAACATCGCTGAGTGTTGGCGCGAGGCCGGTGGATCACGGAGCCGAAGCCACGGGACATCCTTCAGGAGGAGGCAGTGTGTTATCAGGTGTTTTTCGAGCTGTGCAGACGTTACCAGCTGCAGTGGAGAACTTAGTGGCCAGATCTGGAAGCGGACGAGCCATCTCGGCGAACCCGGGACTGAGTGATAGCGTTGAGTACGCCTCGGTTCGATCGTCGACGGACAGACCGCCACCACCGCCCATGGAGGTTCATCCTCCGAGCGCGCCGCTGTTCGAGCCACGAGCTCTGGAACGAATGCAACGCTTGCATGAAAGTGCTCCGCTGTTTTACCCGGGAGAGCCGGCTATGTCGTCTTCACCACCGAGACCGCCGTCGACTTCGTCTAGTGACGTTCAAGCTGAAGTGAGAAGGCAGTTGTTGGAGATGATGGCCATCCGGGACGAAGAGAGCCGTAGGCTTAGGGCCCAAGTAGAGGCATTGTCTATGGAAAATCGGAGCCTGAGGCTCCAGGCCGAGGCCACTGTACAGCCTGAGATGCGTCCCTCAAGGCAAGGGCAGGTTCCTAAGCTAGGACTTCCAGGACTTGGATGGATTGGTAGGGGTTTGGGAACTCTGATGGGCCAGCCAAGACCGTCGTCGGGCCTGGACTTGGCCACTATCCCTTCCTCTGAGGAGCAGGCTCAATTTCCCACCGCCTTGGATTTTCCTGTAGGTGGAACACAATCTTCTCCTCCAAAGGGAACCTTGAGCAATGTTGAGCTGAGGCCCATGCCTGCTGTAGACACAGACCCAAGATTAGGGACCCCTAGCGGTTTAGCCCCTTCCCAGGCGCATAATCCAGGTCAGGCAGGTGCCGTGCTGAGGGCAGCCCATGCCCCATACCGACCGCCTCCACCTGGAGGATTGATGCAAGGAGAGCCGGGGTTTGAGACTCAAGGGGGGATAGGTGGTCTAGGGGTCGGGGTTGGTCAAGCTAGGATGTATGAGCATGGGTGCCCAGCTGGACCTGGGACAGTGCAGCCACTGCCACCTCCGGCGCAGGCAGGAGAAGCTCCCGGGGAGACAGTAGGACCCGAAGACCTAGGCAACCCGAAGTTAGACCCTCTAGACGTGGTGTTGACTGGAATGGCCCAGCTGCAATCAGTAGTTACAGAACTTACGAGCCCGAAGGCTAGTGGGAAACCTGAGGTGATTAAGCCGGGTGTGACCTCACTTCCAGATCTCCCTAGTCACGGGCCCGAGTCCTCGTTGGCGTTTGCAGACTGGCTGCATGCAGGCAAGCCGGCGCTGGCAGATGTGTCGGACACGTCGGAAGAGCTTTGGCAGAGAACAGTTGATGAGGCCACCTCCTGGTATAATCAGTATCTGCGCATGGACCCGTTGTCACGCCTTACGGCGAAGCCTGAAGCCTCGCCCGAACTATCCCAAAATAAGTGGGCCCGTGTGTCGCGGAGGATTGAGACGATGATCATCGCGGCAGCCCCGAAGGAGATCCGCGAGGAGGTCAGCGCTTCCAGGACCTCGGGACTCCTGCCGTTGGTGTCAAGGCTGTTTGTGATTTACGGGCCGGGGACTCTGATGGAGCGTGAGCTAGGGTTGAAGCATATAGCTGAGCCTCCGGTCGGTACGACGGTCTTAGAGACCGTCGAGATTCTACGTAGGTGGAAACGCTGGTGTGCGCGCATGACAGAGCTGGGTGGTGTATTACCTGACCCCTCTATTCAGGTCCGAGCGTTGACCAAGGCCACCAAGACAGTCTTGACTCAGAACCCCGAGGTAGCCTTTAGGATAAACCTGATAAGGGCCTCGCTGCAGATAGACGTTACCCCCGACAACACTAAAGTTGCGAAGCTCCACGCCCAGATCTTAGCAGAGTTAGAGGCTATAGCTCACCGAGGGGATAAGGCCAAGGCAGGGGAAAGGGAGCAAGGACCGCAGGTGTCAGCCAAGGTGAAGGGAGTTGAGGCGCAAGCACAAACCCCAGCTAACCCTAAGAACCCTAAGGTCCCTAAGAGCCCTCCAAAGCCTCCGCCAGCTCCGAAGCCTCCGAGTCCGGTAGACGGTACGGTAGCGACTAAGCCTCCGTGCACCTTTTTCGTCGGTAATAGTGGCTGTAAGAAGGGACAAGACTGTGCGTACGAGCATTGCTGGGCGAACTTCAGCGCTGCCGAGAAGGCCCTAAGGTGCAAGAATTGCGGCAGCAAGTCGCACCGAGCCGCCGAATGCAAGGCAGGCCTGAAGGCAGAAGACAAGGCTAAGGGTCGCCCGGTGAGACCACCGAAGAATGCGTCGGAATCCGGCCAAGGGGGAAGTCAGGGGCAAGGGAGTTCTGAAGTTGGTAGCCAGCAGATTAAAAGTATGCTTGCAGATGCGGCGAGGTTCTTGCAGCAGGCTATCCCCGAGGCACCAGCAGTAGAGCAGGTCTCGCCGACCCCTATTGCTGCCCCACCGCAGCCTTCAGCTAGCAAAGCAGCTCCGGCGGTACAAGGCACACCCGTGACCTTGGCATCACTCAGTGCGCAGCTCGAGTCGCTTCGGGCTATGGCTGGCAACCCAGAAATTAGGGCGTGCACTGTCGAAGGACAGGTCACTGCGTTGCACGATGAGGGACTTGATAGGAGAACAGGGTAAGCTTAGGGCAATGGTGCAGGGTTATGAGGCACGAATATGTTCGCAGGCCCCCGGCGGGGACCCTGTAGCGCTGCTTGATAGTGGTGCCACCCATGCAGTGGTAGCCTTTGACCCAGACATGACTGGTTTAGAAAAGGTTCCGGTTACACTCGCGGGAGACGCCAAGCAAGAGTGGCTGCGAACCAGGGGGGGTACACTTGTGGTACCACCCGAAACAAGGGCAAAAGCTGCTAAGGCACCTGTGCAAACAATACTTCCCTTAGGAGCACTGGTAGAGTGTTTGGGTTGCAGTATCGAATGGAGCAAGCGCCGAGGCCTACGTGTTAAGCACCCTACCCTAGGGATCCTTCATACTGGAGTGTCGGGGAATACGTGTCCTTATGTGCAGGAGCAGCAGGCCCTCCAACTGATAGCAGAGCTTGAAGCAGCTAGGTTGGGAGAGTTTCAGCACCAGCTGCATACATTTGAGTGTCAGCTCGAGGCGAAGCGAGACCCCGTTGATCCATCTAAGGCCTGGGAAAGGTTTGCCAACACCGGGGCGAGACGAGATGCCCTGTGCGCCTTGTTTGCGCAGCCTTACCTTTGTGAAGTCCCGGAGGACATAAAGGCATCTTTAGCCGAGTCCATCCCGGCTGGGGAGGGCTCTGAGGATGGTAAGAGTGTTTTGAAGGTCTTACCTTTGAGGCGCTCGTCGAGAAGGCTCCTTCTCAACTCTGACCGATGGGTCGTGCACCTTTGCTCGGGCAAACCAAGATCCCCAGAACCCCTAAAGGAGTGGAGCGACCATAATGGGATGTTAATGCTTCATGTTGATATCCTTGAGAAAGGGGGAAGGGGCTGGGACCTGCTTAAGCAGCAAGGGGTTTGGAGAGCTCTGTTGTGGGCAGCCTCAAAGGGGAAAATTGCTGCGGTGTTGTCTTCGCCTCCAAGGTACAAGGAAGGGGAAACTGCCAAGCTTCCGTTGCAGGCGATGGTGTTGTGGTCGTTCGCCTCTGTCATGCGAAGAGGAGGAATACCATATCTAGCCGAGCAACCTGGTCTTCCCGTAAGCATCCAAAGTAGCTTTGGCAAGTGGTCAGGTACTGAGGTTCTCTCCTTGAGCCAGGGTGCATTGGGGGATGAATTCTCTAGACCAACTACGGTGCAGACGAATTTAGATCTGAGGTATGTAAGTACCCTCCCAGTAAAGGGGAAGCCTGAGGTACCACCTAACGGCCGGGAGTGGACCCTGCCGTTCCGTAAGGAGGTAGTCCGTGCTCTGAGGGGTTGCCCGTCCACCCCGTCGTGTGAGGAGCTAGATAGGGTTATAGTTGAAGCAAAGGAGACCACAGCATCAGGACGGTGCGAGGAAGCGCAGCCCTGCATAGGGAAGGTCGACGATGCCAGCCTGGAGGAGTGGCGAGAACACATCCTTAATGGACACGTGCCTTATAGGAAGGACTGTCGGAGGTGTATAGAGGGGGCGGGGTTGGGAATCCAACACCGCAAGGTGAAATATCCGCATAGCTATGCACTATCAGCAGACCTCTTCGGGCCAGTTCCTCCAGACCAGCGAACGAGATGAGACTTGCGTTTCCGGCAACACGTACTTGAGGTGCGCCCTAGTCGGGGCATTTAGGATCCCGCGTTCGGCATTGAGTAGCGATGAGCAAGTGAAGGAAGCCGAGGCCCCTCTACCTCAGGAGGAGCTTCCCGAGGGCCTGGAGGATGTTGACTTAGCTGAGTATGAACCCTCCGAAGTTCCCGAAGAGAATCCTCCACACCTTGAAGAGGAGGACGAGGAGCTGCGGCAGTTGTTTGAGCTACCCGATCCAGGGGATTGCATTAGCGGGGTGATACCTTTCAGTGTTGAAGCCGTTGATGGACTGTCTGGTGATGCTGGAAGAGCGGCGTCAGATGCTGAGGCGTGTAGTAAACCAAGTGAAGAAGACTTGATTAAGGACCCTGAGGGCCTAAAGGGATTGATTCAAGAGTTAAGGGAACCAGTGGAGCAGGTTGTTCTCAGGTTTGTCGTTCCCTTAAAGGGTAAGTCAGGCCCAGATGTAATGGAAGGATTGCAGAAGATGATTCTGGCTATAAATGCAAGGTTTCCTGTGCGAATTCTGCATACAGACCCCGGCACCGAATTCATGTCAGCATCCCTCTCAAAGTGGCTCGCCAATCACGGTGTACGTGTCCAGCACTCCCTTCCTACCGATAAAAAGGGAAACGGATTGGCGGAGAGGACTGTGGGATGGGTGAAGAGTAGGATAAGAACTTTAATAGGTTCCTCCGGCTTGCCAATGCACTTCTGGCCACTCGCGGCTAGATGGGCCGCGGAAGCGCACAACCGTAGTGTACTGGACCAGCCTAGGCTGCCGGCGTTTGGGCAACAGGTACTGCATAGGGTTAAGCAACCAGCCGATGGGACCAGACAGATAATGAATAGGTGGGTAGTTGCCCGTTACGCAAGCCCCCACTCCAGTATTCCAGAAGGCCATGTGTTGGTGACAGGCGAGGGAAACCTCGTGGCATCTCGAGGCTTCCGAAGCGACACCGTAGATCCAGAAGAACTCCAGGACCTAAAGATACCGGCTCTCCAGGAGCTTGAACATAGTGGTCAGGTTCAGGAGGAGGCCGCCGAGGGTCAGGGTTCTAGTCCAGGCCGCAGATTGAGGTTTAAGACAGCTGTAAGGTTCATTGAGTGCAGTGAGCACGATGAGCCTGAAGCCCTTGCCTATGAGTGTCTAGTGAGAGAAAGGTATACCCGAAGGGCCCTTAGGGAGGTTCTCAGCAAGTTGCCAAGGGAAGTCCAAACCCATAAGGATAGAAGGGGCCTCACTGAAGACCGGTTTGTGTTTGGTGCGTATTGCCATGGAGGTCTGCGAGGGCTCACCACGAACACCAAGAGATTTCCTTTGACCACCAGGTTCCTCAATGAGTGCATGCGGGTGACTCTAGAAGCTCAAGGTGAAGGGGTGTCCCCAACGTGGACTGCGCTGTTGATCACACGGGCTTCGAGTGTAGACGTGCACAAGGACTTCAGGAATGAGTGGGGCTCGCTCAATCATGTGTTTGCAGTGCCTGGGGCAGTTGAGCTCTGGAGAGCACAGGCAGATGGGGTAAAACCCGATATCCTTGAACAGCCAGATTGGAGGTCTGGTTTGGTTGACGATCTAACCGCGGCCGCCATTAGCTTCAATGCCAGATACCCCCATGCAGTAAGGAAGCACCCGGATTGGGTTCTAGTAGCGTACACCCCCTTAGGGTCCGCCAAGCTTAAGGAAGAAGACTGGGGGAAGTTACAAACCTATGGTTTTAGAACCCCTCCTAGAAGTAGCCCTGATCCGGTGCAAGTCAAGGTAGTATCCCAAAGCTCGAGTTCGCATGAGCCACCGGGAAAGGAACAGGATGAACAGGAGGAGTCGGATAGCTCAGACTTCCCGCCACCAGTACAGGGGCCCCTGGAGGCTGACTGCCAGGAGGACTCTTATACGTCAACAATAGGCTGGGATGTCACACGTGGGCCCGGCGAATACCCGAGACGGGACCTGCAGAATGGTGATCTGTTCGTCTACTTAAGGGAGCGGTTTGCAGAGCATGAGCTAGAGCGCTTGTTGCAGAATGGTGTTGAGGAGCCGGCAGACTTGCCTTTTCTGTACGAGGAGGACCTGTTGGAAATGGGAATTCCCTTGCAGGTTGTGAAGAGGATTATGTTTGGTATTCATCCACAAGGGACGATTCGTCCCGACAGTCCGGCAATGTTAGGCCAGAGGACTGGGGAGGTCCGGATGTATGATAGATCGCAGAGACAGATACCTTGGGTGATACAGAATAGGACCCTAGCACATAGGAGCCCGGGCCCTCCCGTAGAAGGGTTAGGGGTTAGGAATGCTGACGATGATGAGGCCGTTGAGGCCGGGAACTGGGATCAGGTATCAATTCCCGAGGAAACAAGTGCAGATCCAACGGATTCACCCAGACCACAGGTCTACGAGGAGAGGGCGTCCTCTTCGACGGAGCCGGTTAGAAGGCCGCACGCAGCAGATAGAATGATTGAAGAGCAGCTACATATGATGTACATGCAGGCTATGTGGGATGATGACGATGCAGATGTTGTCCATTGGCCACCAGCAGCATCTAGTTCTGATGCATCTCAGGCGCTCGGTGATGCTCAGGTTCCGGTTGAGGGACATGGCGACTTGAGTGTAGGCTGTATTCCGGAGGAAACAAGTGCAGATCCGACGGATTCACCCAGACCACAGGTCCATAATAAATATGAGTGCAGGACAGTCAGGTCTGGTGGTCCTTTAGAAGCTAATGTGTGCAGGACAGTCAGGTCTGGCGGTTCTCCGCGTACTGCAGTAAATGAAGGGCATGGTGCAGGAGAAAGTGTCGCATCTAACCCGCCAAGGATAGGAGTCCCGGTAGATGACCCGCTGCTAGCCTTAAGGTCCCCTCATCCACAAGCTGAAGGCCCTCGGGTAAGCCGAGTAGAAGAGGCAATGTACACGCCGAATATAGAATCTTTGTTGGAGTCTCTTTCTGCACCCTTAGAGGTAGTTCACAATGTAGCCCCAGCAGAGGTGCGTGTGCATTTGGACCGTTGGCGCCAGGCGGCAGAGACAGAAGTGTCGTCTCTTGAGGCTCTGGGTGCCATTAAGAGGTTAAGGGGTCGCGAGGCTAGGGACTTGCTGCACGATGGGTCCGTTGAGATTGTGCCTGCGAAGGCTGTGTGCACAGTGAAGCCGGGATCACCTTACAAGAGGAAAATGAGGGTGGTCTCCTGTGGTAACTACGCCACGGGAACCGATGAAGCGTCGCTTTACGCTGGCGGAGCAGGGGCGGAATCGTTGCGTGCCTTGTTGGTACATGGTGGACGCCGACGTCGTCGGTGTTTCGGCACCGACATAAAGACGGCGTTCTTGCTGGCGCCTATACCGGCACATGTGTCTAGGAGATATGCGGTAAGACCACCACGAGTGCTAGTGGAACTCAACATCTGCGAGCCTTCCGAGATGTGGTTGATCCAGAAGGCATTATACGGATTCCGTGAGTCACCGAAGTGGTGGGCAACCCACCGTGACTCAATACTCCAGAAGGCACAATGGTGGTCAGGAGGAGAAAGATTTAGACTACAGCAGCTGAGAAGCGAGGGCAACATATGGGCGATCATAGCCGACTCAGGAGCCTGCGCAGGGCACTTACTTATATACGTCGACGATTTCCTATTGGTCACCGAGGAGCACATTGCGCAGGACTTTGTGGGCTGGATACGCGCCCGTTGGGAGTGCACGGACCTCTCTGCGGCAACGGAAAGTAGGCCATTGAAATTCCTTGGTGTAGACGTATACGAGGTCAGGAACGAACACGGCCCGGTCGGATTCCGACTAGGGCAAGAAGGCTATGTGGACGAATTGCTGCGTAGCCACGGTATAGAGGCAAGCGCCAGAGCAACCACTCCGGTGCCTAGAGAGTGGGTACGCGAGATGCCACCCGCCGAACAGTTTTCTGAAGCCGATTTGAGGGCTGCCCAGAGGATAACAGGGGAGCTTTTGTGGGTCGCACAGCGAACACGCCTGGACCTGGGATTCTCTGTAGGATTGATGTCCAGTTGGACAACGAAAGCTCCGCAGCATGTGACCAGGATGGGTCAGAGAGTGCTGCAGTTTTTAGCAGCTACCAAAGCCCAGCGACTGTCCTTGGTGCCAGGCAAGGCCAACGGCCTAAGCCTGTACTCAGATGCATCGTTTGCTCCGTACGGAGACCACAGTATTTCTGGCATCCTCATTTAATACGACGAGGTTGGCATTGTTTGGAAGTCGCGCAAGCAAACGTTAGTGACTCTAAGCACGGCAGAGGCCGAGTTGGTGGCAGCGTGTGATGCAGTGGTGCTTGGGCAGTCACTCGCTGCCCTCATAGATGAGCTTGAGGAAGCGCCCACGAGCAAAAGGCTGCTCGTCGATAATGTAGCAGCCATAATACTAGCCGAAGGGGGGGGGAGTCAAAGAACGAGACACTTGCGTGTGCGTGCAAACTTCCTCCGGGACATGCAAGACCGCGAGGAGCTCCTGGTGGAGCACTGCCCGGGGGAAGTGCAGCTTGCAGATTGCCTTACTAAGGCCCTCCCTAAGCCCCGTAACGATATGTTAAGCCAGTTAGTGGGGTTAGGCCCGGAGGTTAGTTGGAGTAGCGTAGCCCAGGTCTCGGCACCTTCCGATGGGGTGAATCCAGGCCAGGTCGCAGGTACTTCACCACCCAGGCCAACCGCACTGATACAAGCTAGAGCAGGACTGCTGATAGTTCTGCTGCTATTGCAAGCTGAGCTCTCGGACTCAGCAAATGCAGAGCCAGATGAAGCTAGTGAGCCGCTGGGGGTAGAGTTGTGGTTGCTGCTGGTGATGATGACCCTTGCGGTGCTGTTTGTTTGGGAATCGTCAAAGCAGTGCTTACGTACGTGCTGCACGCGTCGTGATGATGGCGACTATGAGGTGAGAGTCGTGACGACTACGGACGGTGATGAGGTTTCCCACCGGAGGGAAAGACGGCAGCAAGCTGTTAGGAGGGCAATAGAACGGGAAGTTCAAGAGGACGGTTTAAGGCATAGGGGTCAAGGTAATGTGTTGACGTACGGAAGCCCGAGTTTGAGCTCCCATGTTCACGTAACGCTTGATCACCCGGTCAGCTCCACCTCGGGGCCGCAGGAACCACCATGGACTTCGATCAGGGCTGCCAGTCCTCCACCTCCGCCTCCCCGACTTGGGAGCGGAGGTAGTTCCTCCCGGGAACCTCCTACCAGCCTCCGCGATCAGCCTGCTTCCTCATCCTCGGCAGCGGTTCCTCCACCGCCACCTATCTCAGGTCATGGACTTCAACGGCTGTGCTCATCAGAACGAAAGGGGTTTGGCCAGAGACCTCAGAGGGATGCATCTACTCAAACCACTCGAGAGAGGGGTTTCGATTTCCAGGAGTTGTGTGAGCTCCATGTGTTAACTACTACAGGCAGAGGTCCTGGAGCTGTACACTTGTTTCCCGACTGTCACGCGCTAAGGCACTCTACGACTCATCAGAGAATGTTTTGCAGGTATTGTCTGCAGGCGGCCCGTGATGCTCGGAGAAACCAGTCTTCCATCCTTGAAGGATGATGCGACTGAGGAGGAGTGTAGAAATCTGGCCGCCAGGTTTC